AAATGATTGACATTATTATTATTATTATTATTATTATTATTATGGTCACTCTTAAACACGACAAGGCTCTTATTTGTCGGGGTTTTTAAGCATTTATCCCAGGTCTCTACCCGATTCCTTAGGGACAAATACTCGAATATCGGTGGTGCTATTTATAATATTTTCCGAAGAATGTGGGCCGTCCCACATAGTGCGATTTCCTGGATGGTTTCTTCTTTTAGGTTCTTCATAATCTTCTTTAAATTTCCTTTTATTGAATTTGGCATGGCTCCCAATGCTCCCACGATGACCGGAATCGTTTCAGTTTTTGTTCCCCACATCCTGGTTATTTCAATTTCCAAATTTCTGTATTTCAGCCTTTTGTCTGCTTCTTTGGCTGTGGTGTTTTTTTCTGCCGGCACGGATACCTCAATTAACTTACACCATTTTTCCCCATTATGCCTGAGTATGATATCCGGTTTGTTAGCTGGCACAGTTCTATCAGTGTGGATTTGTTGATCATATAGAACTGTGCATGGACCTACTGTCGTAACCGGGCTTGGAATGTGGTTGTACCACTCCTTGGGTAATCCATCCATTCCATATTCTCGGCATATACTCCAATGGAGATATTGACATATTTTATTGTGCCTTTCTAAATATTCATGTTTTGCCAGTATCGGACAACCGGAAATTAAATGATCGATGGTTTCCGATTGTGATTGGCAAATTCGGCACTTGTCATCTTGGCGGACTTTGAGAATTACTTTTTCATAGTTATGGGTCCGCAATGCCTGATCTTGAGCCGCTGTAATAAACGCTTCTGTTTCTATTTTAAGTTTTCCACGTCGTAGCCAATTGTGCGTGCTCTTCTTATTAATATCTTCGGCATTTATTCTTTTTAGGTATTGCCCATGTAATTTTTTCTGTTCCCATTTGCTTATTAATTTCTTCTGAGATTGGGCTTTGCTATTATAAGTTGCAAGTTGCCCTTCTTCCATTATCTCATTTTCTTTATTTTCTTGGACGTTATTATTATTATTATTATTATTATTATTATTATTGTTATTATTATTATTATACCTTATTTAAAAAATTTCGATTTTTGTTAGTTTCGTTTTGTTTTGTTTTTGTGAAAAGTATTGTTACGTACGGTTCACGGATTAAACTTTTTGTTTAAAAAATTTTATAATAATAATAATAATAATATTATTCTGAGTATTAAAATTTTGAAAATTTTAATGTTTGTTATATTATTATTATTATTATTATAAAGTAAGTTTGTTGAATGTTAATTATCGGCTGACAAGTCAAAAAAAAGAACAACATGGTAAAGTTTTTGTGAAATTTTTGAAAGGTAAAATTTTATATTAAACTTTCTTTTTTACGTTTTGTTTGAAAAAAAAAAAAAAAAATTTCATCGGAAATAATAATAATAATAATAATAATAATAATAATAATGGTATATTAAAAATATTTATTACGTAATTATTAGCGGATTTATTATCATTAATAAAAAAGAGTAAAAATTCTGATAGATATGTAAATACATAAAAAAATTTTTTGACGTTTCGGGATAAATTTAATTAAATAACTTGCATTTACCCATCATAAAGACATACATAAATATTTATTATTACATAAGTAATAAATAAGTAATAATTTTATTCGTGATAAAATAAAAAGTAATAAAATTTTGTTTTTGTTTTTTTTTGTTTTTTTTTTTTTTTTTTTAAATTTTCACATCGATGTGTTGCAAATAAAAAAATAATTTTTTTTTTTATCAATCGTGATAGAATTGTTATTATTATCATTATTATTATTATTACTATTAGTACTATTAATAATATTATTACTTAAAAAACAAACGAAAAAAAAGCTAAAGAAGAAAACGTATTAAAAAAAAACAAAAAAATATTATAAATTAAATATGAAGTTTTAAAAAAGTTTTTTTTTTTTTCAAAAGTTAAAATTACCTTTTTTCTTTTATTATTATTATTATTATTATTATTATTATTATTATTATTATTGTTATTATTATTATTATTACTATTATTATTATTATGGAAAGAAAATCTTTTTTTCGAAAAGAAAAAAGTATTTAAAAAATTTTACTTTTTTTTTTTTAAATCTTTCATTCATTCATTCATTTTATGATAAAATTTAAAATCTATAAATCTAAAAAAAAAAAATTATTCGGAGAGAAAAAGATACGGGAAGAGAAAAGTGAATGAGAAATGGGGGGGGGGGGAGAGAGAAATTAAGATTGAGAGAGAATGTGGGTGTTAAACAAAGAAAGAAAGGAAGAGAGTGAGAAATAGAGAGAAGAAAAGAGAGAAAAATAAAGAATGGCAGAGAAAAATTTTGAGAGAGAGAAAGAGAGAGACAGGGAAATTAAGATTAAGAGAGAATGTGAGAGTGAAACAGAGAAAGAAAGAGAGAGAGAGATTGAGAAATGAAAAAAGAAAAAAAGTGAGAGAGTGAAAAAAAGAGAAATAGTAAGAAATAAAAAGAAAAAGAGAAAAGCGATGAAAGAGAGGAAGAAATAGATAAATAGATAGAGAGAGAGAGAGGTAGAGAGAGAAATAAAAATTTAACATAAGGACCAGATTATTATTATTATTATTATTATCATTCAAACTCTTATGATTTATTTGCCCTTCTTATACGTTTTGTTTTTATTAAACAAAATCCAACACCTCAAATTTGATTTTTATTTATTTATTTAATTGTTATTAAATGTTTATAAACAATTAATTAACCACACAGGACATGAGATGCTTTTTAAATTATTTAAACATTTATATAATTTACCAATAAATTTATGAATATTTTACATTTCCGTTACAATCGATACAAAAAATAATAATCGATAATTCGATTCGATAAAAAAAAAAAATTTATTTACTCGATCGCAATTAAATATGTTTTCCTTAACCACGTGGCTTTCATTATTATTATTACTACTATTTATTTTTATTTTATTAATTTTCATTTTCAACCAGAATAATTTTAATAATAATAATAATAATAATAATATAGAAAAAGTTTTTACGACGTTTAAAAAAAAAAACAAAATCATTATTATTATTTTATTTTTGAATTAAATTAAAATTTTCCTTTGAGTAAAAACCACATTTAAAAAAATTTTAATTTATTTTCCGATCGTAATTAAGTCTTTTACGTTCAAAAAAAAACTATTATCATTATTAATAATAAAAAGAAAAAAAAAACCCTTTCGTAGGTAATAATAATAATAATAAACGTTTTAAAATTGATGTATTTTAATTTGTTCAGAACAAAAATTGATGTGTATACATAATTTTTTGTTCAGTTAAAAATTTTAATTTTCATTTAATTAATTTTTTGTTTTTAAAAGAAGACACACGGGACGGGATGGGAGGGTTTTGTACTAAAAAAAGGGAATCCGCTCTGATAATTTGCAAAAGGAAACAAAATCCTATTTTCCTTTTAATTCGAATGAAAACACGTAAATCTGTTTTTATATAAATTTTCTTTGTCCTTGATAATATTTTGAATAAAACTCTTGGTCAAGATTTCCACCGGATTTATATCCCTTTTTGAAAATCTCAAACCTTTCAAACAATGCGAAGAGGAAGTGAGAGGAGGGGGGGATAGGGAGGGGAGACTTTGGGAGAACTTTCGCTACGGTATTAAATTTAAAAACCAAAAGAAGGATTTTACGAGTTAAATCCTTTGTGGACATAAGCTACCGTGAATTGAAAGTGAAGACTTGGACAAAAACAAGGAATTCCAGATAGGATTGGTATTCGCTTTTTTTTTTTTTTTCTGCGGTCCCACCTCACCGATGTTTTTGATGTTTTCCCCGTTTTTTTTTTTAAAATGATAATAATAATTATTTTTGAAAAAAAAAAAAAATTTTTTTTTAAATTTTCTTTCGATTCATTGCGTCATTCAAACGGTTACCTGTTTGGAAGATATAAAATCAACAAATTGTAAAGATTGCGATAATGATGATAATTCATCGAATAGTAAAAATTGGTGGGAATGTAATTGTAAAAATATTGAAATGAGCGGACGTGTCGTCGTACCTGAAAACACGAGCATAAATAATTTTGTTAAAACGGTTCTTGCTAAATTGGGATATCCGAGCGGTTCGTCATCACACGCTTTCGGTGAGTTTTTTTTAAAAATTTTTTATTTAAGCGAAAAAAATATTACGTAATTATTATTATTATTACTAGTCGTCATAATGAAATTTTAAAAAAATTTTTTCAGGTTCGATATTGATAAGAAATTGGAAACCGTTACCGTTGAAAACGATTTGTCCTGGCATGAATAAATCCGTTGGCGACATTTTAGGAGAATTAACTACGTTAGTCAGTTTAAGAATACAAATAATTCGTCCGAAAATAACAATTATCGATAGCATTAAAGATAATTTATTAAATTTTTTAATTCGGACCAATCAAAATTTTTTAATCGATAGCGGATGTCCGTTAGATACGGTAAAAACTAAAAAAATTTTCTTATTTTTCCCTCATAATTATTTGAATCCGTTTGTTTTTAACATAAAATTTTTTTCCATTTGTTTGTTTTCCTTTTAGAACGCATTATTGAAATTATGTTCACCGTTAGATTACAGTAGTGGTAACAAACAATTCATACATCCGCCATCGGAAGAAGTTAAAAAAAAATTTGATTCGTGGTTAAAATTTTACGAAGAAGCCAAAAAAGAATATGATATAACGACGAGAAATGAAAAAAACGAAAACGTTTGTAATAATTATTCGATGAATAATAATAATAATAATAATAATAATAATAATAACAATAACAACAACATAAATAAAACGTCGAACGGAAACGGAAATTTAACATTTAACGGTTCATCGTCGGATTACTCGTCTCAAAGCGGTCCGGGTATGCAATCGAAATCACCGATAAAAAATTTACAAGAAAATGATAAAAATGTGGATTTTAATATAAATAAAGATGGAAATTTAAATCATTTGAAAAATCAAATAGAAAAAACTAAAAATTCATCTTCGATAATAAAAACTCGTATAAGAACAAGTTTCGATCCGGAAATGGAATTACCTAAATTACACAAGTGGTATTTGGAAAATCCACATCCTAGCAGACATCAGGTAAATTATTATTATTATTTTTTTTTTTTTATTATTCTATGATTTTGATTTGAAATGATTTTGTTTGTTTGGTTTTAGATTTTCGAATATGTAACAGTTCTCAATTCTTTAGAATCGAGAAAAGGACGGAAACAATTGGATATAAATAATGTTTTGTATTGGTTTAAAAATGCAAGAGCTGCACAAAAACGTACGGAGTGTAGAAAAATCTCGAATCCGGTTCTTAACGGTGGTGGTGGTGGTGGCGGCGTTTCTAATAAAAATGCAAACATTCTTAAAATACCATTGGGGTAAATAAATTTCCCAATCGAAAATCCGTAATTTTTCTTTTAAAATTTATATTAATGAAATAAAAAAAATTTTTTTTTTAGTAGGACGTCTGCTACTAATTCCGATGACCAAAGATCAATGAGTGATGATGAAGTGTCAATAACATCCGAATCACCGGAAGATTATAGAAATAGATCGTTGCAAGTTGTCGGAAAATGGAATTCTAACGGACAAGGAGAAGCCGTTTTGGAAATGCAGGTGCTCTATATATATATACAAAAACAAATATGGCGGCGTATCGTAAAGTTTTTTTAAAAAAATATTTTTTATATATTATAAATCGTAGATCGAATCATCACATAAAAGTGGATTTTTACATTCTAACATATCCATCAAACAAAAGGAAATAAGCGAAAATGAAGAAACATCGAAAAGTGCATCGTTGAGCGACGAAGATGATACCAACGATCGACCCCATATGAAACCTTTGCCACCCGAAAACAAAAATTTAACAACACAACAAACGGATAATAATAATTCGTTGAAAAATATAAAACAAACAAATCATAAAGAAAATAATAATGCGAGAGAAGAAAATGGGTGCGTAAAAATTTTCAACTCGTTGATACTTATCATCATTATTAGGAAACGTTAAATTTTTTTTTTTTTTTGTAAAAAAGTTTTTGCAGGAGTGAAGAAACAACGAAAGAAACAAATAATGAAAATTCAACAACGAATGATGATTTTATTAAAGAAGAAATTAACGATAGCAAATTGAAAATATTTAATAGAATATCAACGTATAAAGAAAAAAATTATGGAAACGATTCGAAACTTCTTTCACTTTATAAATCAGGTACGTCAGATGATTTATCAACAAACAAACAAACAGACGAGCAATATAAAAAAAAAAATTTTTAGGGTTTACGTCATCATCGAACATATTCGAACAATCGTTGATGTTGCAATACATGAATCCAAAATTAAATAATTTAACGGCGGATGAAAAAAGAAAAAGAAATAGAACTTTTATTGATCCGGTTACGGAAGTACCACGTCTCGAAGAATGGTTTGTATTCCACGATGATGATGATGATGATGAAAAAAATAATGTAATTATTATTATTATTATTGTGTAGGTTTCGTTTGAGTACTCATCCGTCGCACAGTTTAATAGCACGTTATACGGATGAATTAAATGGTATGCCATACAGGAGTAAATTTCCCAAATTAGAAGTTAAAAATGTGCAATTTTGGTTTAAAAACAGGAGAGCCAAAAATAAAAGATTAAATTATATCGAAGGAAGTAATCAAAAAAAAAATTAATTTTTTAATATTTTCTCATAATTTGTTGATTTAAAATATTCATTTTCCAGAGTTTTTTTTTTTTTTTGTTTAGAAAAAAATTTGATTCGAATGAATTTTATTCGTTTATTTATTTATTTATTAATTGTTTTCAACATTTAAATTATTTTTTTAAAAAGAAAAGATGAATTCTGAATTTAAAAAAAAAAAAAAAAGTAATTAATTTGATTTTTTTTTTGTTTTCTCTTCATTTTTTTCAAAATATTGTTTGTTGTCAGGAATATTTTTTGTTTTTAATTGATTAACAATCAACTAAAAAATATTAATAATTATATTATATTTATGTGTTTATTAATAATAATAATAATAATGAAAATAGTTTTCTCTCTGAGCATCAGATTTTTTTTTGTTGGTTTAATTATTAAAATGTTTTTTAATGATGATGTGATGTGAAAGATTTTTCTTTATTTATTATTATTAATAATTTTTTTTTTTTTTTTGTTTTAAGTTAAATAAATTTTTACTTATTCAATTTGTTCCTTATTAAATATTTGTTATTTTAAGGTTTTTTTTATTTTAAATTTTTCAATCGGTTGATGATTATTTGGGAGTAAGTGTAAACAATCATTCTCATCAGATGAATTCATTATTTATTATTAAAGGTCACAGGTTAACAGGTGTATAAACATTTTGCACCTGCGTATGTTTCATTTAAATAAAGAGGAATTAAAAATGGTGGTAGTCCACCGAAAAAAAAAAGAAAAAAGATTTTTATTATAATTTTTTTTAAGGATAACTTTAAAAAAGTTGAAAATTATTAATAATAATAATTTTTCATCGTTAATTTTTAACTAGAGACGAAAAAATTACCAGCAAGTTTTAATATTAAAATTTATTATTAAAAATATCATTATTTTCTACGTTTAAAATGAAAAAATAAAAAAAAACTTTTTTTAATATTTGAAATTTTGATTTTGAAAACAAAAATAAACAAAAAACATCCGCCATAATTGTTTTGTTTTGATGTTTCGTTATTATTTTGCCCAATAGATGTCACTATAAAACTACCATAAATTATTTGTTCGTTAGTACTGAGTTAAAAGTGATAGAAGATGGCGTTGAAAATTTTCGGTATAAAAATTTAATTTTTTTTTGGATTGTTTTTAAGAACCGCAAAAATCGATTTTTTTTTATTCTAATAATTATGTTGAATTATTTACTATGTTTGATTTTAATTTTTCAAATGTTAAAACTTTTTACAAGTGATTTAAAAAAGGAAAAAAACTCATTTTTCCAAAGGGAATGCACGTATAAATTTTGATAAAAATTTACTAACGAAAATGACGTCATAATTTTTAACCGCCATAATTGTTGCCAACTTTTGTTTTCGGATTGAAACAATGAATGCATCGTTGTTAAATTTTATAATTTCATTATTAAAATTTTGTTTTTATACGTTACGCGTTCGAATTAGTTAATTATCGATTTGAAATTTTATTAAAAAAAGTAAGTTTAAACGTTTATGTTATATCATTACCCGGGAAATAACCGTTGGAAAAAGTGGTGAATGTATTTTGTAATTTTTGCCCATAGTTGGTTTACTTTGTGATTATTGAAGTGATGGTGATTTTATTTACGCGATTTCTAAAAGTCTTTATCGATTATTTATTTATTTATGTATTTTAAAAGTAATAAATAAAAAAGGTTTAAATTCGTATTCAATTCGGTTAATTTTAAGTGATTTTATTAATAAGTGTTTAGTGTATACACATCATCATCATCATCATCATCGTTACAGTTGAGAAACTTGACGTCACGTGAGTAACCGTTAAAAATAAATTTTTTTTTTTTTTTGCAAAATTTAATTTAATTTTTAAAAAAAAAAACCGTTAGTTCAATTAGAACGCGGTGTAGAATATATAATAATAATAATAATAATAATAATAATAATAATAATAATAATAATAATAATAATAATAATAATAATAATAATAATAAATTTTTTTTTTGTACTTTTGTCCTCGTGTCAAAAGTTGAAAAAATTGTTTTAATAACTTTCGTGATGATAACAAATTTTATTTTACAATGATTAGAAAAAATAGGAAAATTTTTTTTTTTTTTTTTTACTCGAAATGAAAAAAGTTTTACGTTACGAAAATTAATAATAATAATAATAAACATTTTTTTTTAGCTTTTTTATTATTAGTATTATATAAAGTAAAATTATTATTATCATCATGTAAAATTTAACGAGTGAAATATGACGTGGATATAAAAAAAAAAAATTTGTAAAAGTTTATTTATTCTTGCTTTTTAGTTTATTTTAGTTTTTAAAAATTAAAATATTTGTTAATAGAAAAATCTCGAAACTCATCACGATTCGATAAATTTCGATAGTTTTTCTAATTTAAAAAAAAAAATTTTTAAGAGTTAATGACGTCATTATGTTAATAATAACACGTTATTGTCTTTCGAAAAAAGTTAAACACGTGGGAAAAGCGTTAAATTTTTTTTTTTCTGGGGGGAGAGGAGAGAGGAGAAGGGTTTTTCATGGGGGGGTGTGGTGAAAATTTTAAAATCGACTTTGAAAATAATATTAGTATATAAAATAATTTAACGATCCAAAAGGTAAAAAAAAAAAAAGAGGCTTTTATTTTACAAAAAAAAAAAAGGTTGAAAGGCACTTTAAAAATTTTTTCTCAAAACCGTAATAATAAGATCTAGTTTTTAGATGTCAGCCACCGTTACTTTCCCCCTCCCCCCTCCCCCCCCCTTTTTTTTTTTTGTAAAAGCACTAAAATTCCATTAAAAATTCTTTTTTAGCTTTAACTAAAAAAAAAAAAAAAAAAAAAAAGGTAAAGCAATACTTCACCTTTTATTTTAGCCGACGCGATTGCTTTTTAGTAAATTAAATATTTTCATTTGACGCCGTTCAATGCTTAAATGTTTGTGCCACGACGACAAAATTAAAAAAAAAAAAATTTTACACACGCTTTTATTATTAATATTAAACAATAAAAAAAAAAAATTATTTATTTATTTATTTAACGTCGATAATAATGATTGCTTTTTTTTGTAAATATAATTTTAAATTTTTATCGATTGATTTTTTGATTTTTAATAAAATTTTAAATAATAACAAATTTTTTTTTTTCGAAGATGATTATTTATTAAATTGATGATTGTGAATAAAATTCGGAAAAACGTGGCACTTGCATTTTAGCCTTGACCTCCTCCTGAACCGGAACTATCAGGTTCACACTCGCGAAAGTGGGAACTCCATTTGAGGAAGATCCCGGTACTTTTTCTTTTTACCCTTCTAGAGACATTCCCGATCTGTTGCCATCGTTCCTGCCTTTTCTGCAGAGTTTGCGAGTGTCCGGATAAAGAGAGAGAGATGTCTGGGGTCGCGAATCCCATTAATCTATCACCTATCTTCCTTTGACATCGCAGCCCTGCATTTTCCCTATTTGAGTCAGTTTTCACCTCCTCGAACAAGCGTCGGGGCATCTTCATTGTTTCGAAAAGGTGCTAGGTCACTTATCCTCTTATTTAGGTACAAGCCTGTTCTTGTTTGAACGAGCTGAAATTGAACTCCCATTCCCAGAATTTGAACCCATAACTCTCAACTCGGTGACTTTTGGGCCGATTTTTCCCCTTTTCAGACTCAACCTGCCTACCTCGGGCTTCCCCAAGGCATCCAAGTTGAAAATTTACCCTTAGCGGACGCCTAGTCAACGTGGAAAATCCAATCCGGAAATCCCCGCCCTCAAAACATTCTCTAACCTAGTCTCCGAGTAAGTTATATTACAGGAATACACCACCACTTCCGGCTAATTTATTTATTACCCCGTTAATTTTTTTTTAAAAATATTACTCGTTGTTTGTTTCCCCCTCTCCCTCCCTCTCTCCAAAAGTAAAAATTCGATGTGGTTGTCGACTTTCTATTGAAAAAAAAATGTCGAAATTACGATACGCGTTGTTAAATAAGAGTTAATAAAAAATTACCGTAAATTTTTTTATAATTATTACTTAATTAAAAAAAAAAATTTACATTATTATTATTATTATTATTATTATTATTATTATTATTATTATTCTTACTATTTTGATTTAAATTAAATAAATTAAGTTGTAGTGCACTTGAAAAGGTTTATATAGAAATGATTTATTAGTATTATTATTTCCCTTTTTGAAAAGGTTAAAGTGTGTATTTTTTTTATTTTATTTTTATTTTGAGTAATAATTATTAGGGTAATTTTTTTTTATTAATTTATGTATTTTTAAGTACTGAGGTTTTTTGAGTTTTCTGAAAAAAAAAAAAAAATTTTCGAAAATACGTTTTTTTTAAAAAACATTATTTTCGGTGGGGAAAAAAAATTTTTTTTTAAACACGAAATTAATCAAATTAATTATTTACACTGATAAGAAGAAAATTTTTATTACCGTAATTTTTTTTTTTTTAAATTTAAATTAATTTAATGTAATTTTTCGTTTAAAAAAAGAAGAAAAAAAAATTTTTTTTACTCCAAAATTTAAATTACTTAATTTATTAGTTAAAAGAAAATCTCTTTTAAAATTAATTTCGATTTCGTAAATCATTTTAAATAATAATAATAATGATGATGATGATGATGATGATAATAATAATAATTGATTTTATTGATTATTAAATTTAAAAAAAAAAAAAAATTTTTTTACAACGATTATGCATGATCGAAAAGAAAATTTTTTTTTTGGTTTTTTTGTTTTTTTTTTCGAGAGAGAGAGAGAGAGAGAGAGAGAGAGATTACGCATGTTTGTTGTGTTTGTTTTATGTTTAGCGTTATGTTATTTTAGCATTAAGGTTTGTATTTTTAAATAAGGCAAAGGGTATAAAAATGTTGAAATGTATTTTGGGTAACAAATTTACGCATCCAAAAGCACAAGTGTTTGAAAATCAAAGGAATTAATATTCGCTTCGTTAAATTCACTTTGAAAAATATAAATCATCTTTGTATCCTAACCTCTCTCTCACACAC